TCACTCACTCACTCACTCACTCACTCACCCACCCATTCACTCACTCACTCACTCACTCACTCACTCACTCACTCACTCATTACTCACTCACTCACTCACTACTCACTCACTCACTCACTCACTAAAAAGAAAGAAAAAGAAACAAGAACTCACCGAGCCTTTGACATCAACGTGAATTGCTCTGGAAAGAGGTATCGAATACAAAACCTAAGCGTCTTTAGTGCACAGCAGTGTTTGAGACAATATGCTGATGCCACCAGATCTTTGTTTTTTTCAACCAGCACGGTGGCTTCTACAAAAGGCTTCATGACGTGTTTCACAAAGTCTTCCTCCTGGTTTTCGAAGAGACAATGAAACAAAGGGAGATGGTATTCCATTGCTGTTGGGTTACTACCCAAGAATTTTATTTTCTTTACGAAGTACCTCCGGTGATTTTCTGGACATATTTGCCACCCAAAAGTTGTCTCAAGAATGTCTCTCGTCTTCTCATTAAGAAGACCAAAAATGTAACACATTACTGGACTAAAATCATTGTATTCTGTCCGATTGTCCAACTCTCTGCCAACCGAGGGAAGCGGAACGATCGTCAATGGCATGGTGTAGGCTACGGCTGCGCAAAACTCCTGGACCTGCTGGTGGATGAACATGCAGCAGCCTGCCCGCTTATTGCTCTGCGTGATGATCTTCCTGGCCCTCAACACATGAAGATCAGCTTTGGTAAACCCAACACTTTGGAGGTCTTCATTGCTAAAGTCAAATGTGTTGTAAAGCAGTCCTTCTAACGCCAGCAAACACACCCGCTCCAAGAGGCAGCGGCGACGCTCAGCAGCAGCCTCACCAGTGCCAGAGGTCAGTTCATTGCTGAGAAAATGGGCATATATGTCAGTCGATGTCTGGAACGCAAATTTGATATCATTGTTCCCGTCCAGGTGCTGATTCAGAGTTGTGCAAGTGATCCAGCACAAGATGGGAACCTTGCACAAATCCACAAGCAGTTCATTCTCCTGGACAAATGTGAAGGCTGCCGTAGCCCTCGCCTCATTTTTGTAGAATAACTCAAAATACTTCTGCCTTTGGTCATCAGCAATATTCACAGTTATATGGTACGCACATACCCCCACTGTGCCCAGGTTAGCATCAGGCCAACTTCTGCTCGAGATGAGGAATGAAGATCCCGATGCCATCTTCCTCTTCAGCAAGCTGAGCACAAGCACCGAGACGGGCACCTTTTTCCTGATGTCGCTACACAGAGCCGATGTAGCCACGCTGAAGGGAGGCTTGACATTGTCCAAATCCTCAAGGACAAATAAGAGCTTCTTGGGGTCGGACAGGATATCGACCACAGGTGCCTGGCCATCAGGCCAGACCTCGGAGAGCAGCTCGACCAAGCTAGTGTCGGCCGTCTGGTTTATATCGCGAGAACTGAGGAAAACGAGATATGAGAACACTTGCTTCCACATGTGTCCCTCGCTCCACATTAACATCATCCTTTTGAGAAGCAGCGTTTTCCCAGCCGCCTGATCGCCTATCATGAATACATTTGAATTGCCATCACCGTCAAAGATTCTTTCAAAAAAGCAGTACAAGGATGGATTAATTTCACCAAAAAATGCATGGTGGATCATTAAATAAAACCTGTCTTTCCATTGGATTATGCATTTTCTGTATGTGATCTTTTTGTGCTTCTCTGTGTTACCTATGCCGATGAGAACAGAAGAAGGGCAAAATGGATAAATGTCCAAACGGTATAAACAATTTCCCTCGCATTTCCACTTCCAACCAATCACCAGAAAGGCAGAACTGTAAGGGTCCTCGCCACCACAATTGTTTCAAGAGTAGATTACATAAAGACAGCTTAACACACGGATTCACGATGTGTCAGAAGCAACAGGATGACAACCAACAACAACCGCTAGCGTATCCACTTAAATTCCAGCCAGGGATCATGAAGTCATTCAGCAGTGGTACATTAAACAGCTTGAGTCAGCGGCGGGATTTACGGATGTTTTGATCATCAGCTGTAGAGTGAGTGACCACCATTCGCCTGTCAGTTTGTCGTACTGTGGTGGCTTGTGTGTTGATGTGCTGCTGGAAGTTACATCCCTGGTACTGCAACTACAAGGAGGGTCGCCCAAAGTGAACATGCTCCAGCCGAGATTCCACTCTAAGAACAAGTGCTGAGAAGAAATTGGCTGCCTACTTCTGAGGAAAATCGCCACTGAACGCCCAATACATGCCACCTAAACATGGTCAGATACTGGAGTCCTAATGAGTGGAAGTGGGGCACTGTCAGAGGAGGTGCCAGAGGGTGGGCCCCTTAGGTGGGAAAGCACCCAGAATACTATGGAGCTGCCTTCTCAAAGTAGACTCGACCAGGTGACTGGGGTGGGGGAGGCCTGTGAGAGTAAAGCTTCCGGTACGTCCATCGTCTGAGGGGGCACAGCTCAAGGAAAGAAGAAACAGCTGTGAAAGTCTGATCATCAGCACTTGGAATGTACACTGGAATGTAGGGAGCATGAATTAGGAAGATTGGAAGTCATCAGATATGAAATGGAATGCTTAAAGATCAATAGCTTATGTATTTTTGAGCTGAAATGGACCGGTATTGGCCATCTTTAATCAGAAAATCATGATTTGTTATGCTGGGCATGACACAATCAAGAACGATGCTACACGCATTGCCCAAAAAGACATTTCAGGATCCGGAAGTCCAATGCTGTCTGTAATTGGATTTCCTTAAAAGTGCATAAATGCCATCCTACGAATACAACTATCATTCCAATTTATGCACCAACCTACAAAGCCAGTGATGAAATCATGGAAGCATCATACCAATAGCTTCCATTGGAAACTGATCAAATGTGGAATCAAGATGCATTGATGGGCGATTGGAATGCAAAAGTTGAAACCACAGATGAACAGCAGTTGGAAAATATAGTCTCCGTGATAGAAATGAAGCTCAAGATCGCCTGATAGCATTTTGCACGACCTACAACTCGTTCCTAGCAAATACTTTTTCAATAACCCAACGGCCACTAGACACATGGACTTCCCCAGATGGAACACCCAGACATCAAAGGGACTGCATCTGTGGGAAGCGAAGATGGAGATGCTCAATTAGCAGCGGCTAAAACCAGGCCAGGGGCTGACTGTGGAACAGACCACCAATCGCTCAGATGTAAGGTCAGGTTGAAGGTGAAGAAAATGAAAACAAGCCCAACAGGGCCAAAACACGTCCTTGAGTCTATCCTACCTCGAGGTGTTTGGGAGCGTCTCAGGAAACACTCATGACGTGAGCTGTAGAAGAACAGCCAGGACAACGTGCAGAGAGACAGTGAAGGTTGTTAAAAAGACAGGTCAGAAAGAAAAGATCAAAGTGGATGTCAGAAGAGACTGACACTTGCTCTTAATAGGAGAATAATGAAGGCAAGTGGAAGAACGGATCAAGTCAAAGAATGGAAGAGAACATTTCAAAGGGCAGCTCAAGAAGACAAAGGCAAACATTATAATGAAAGGTTCAAAGAACTAGAGTTAGAAATCCAAAAAGGACGGACCGGCTCAGCTTCTCTTAAAGTGAAAGAACTCGAGAAAAATTCAAGTGTTGGGTTGTAATCTTGGAAGAGTCTATGGACAAAATATTGGATGATGCAGGAAACATCAAAAGAAGATGGGAAAAATATACAGAGTCACTGTACCAATAAGAACCAAGCTGACGTTCCACCGTGTCAGGAGGTAACATATGAGCAAAACCCAGTGGTGCTGAAGGAAGACATTCAAGCTGCACTGAAAGCATCAGCCAAATCCCGGGGCCCGGGACTCGATAGAACATCCGTTGAAATGGTTTCAACAAGCTGATGAGGTACTGGGCACACTGACTAATCTATGCGAGGACATTTGAAAGACAGCTACTTGGGCAACTGACAGAAGACATCCATATTTGCACCCATTCCAAAGAAAGGGGGTTCAACAGAATGCTCAAATTATAGAACAATATCATTGATATCACATGCCAGTAGAATTTCGCTGAAAATCATTCAACAACAGTTGCATTGACAGGGAGCTGCCAGAGGTTCAGATCGGATTCAGAAGAGGACGCGGGACAAGGGATATCATTGTTGATGTCGCATGGATGTTGGCTGAAAGTAGAGGTAACCAGAAAGATGTTTACTTGTTTCATTCGCGATGCCAAGGCAGTCGACGGTGTTGATGTCTTAACAAGCCATGGAGAACCTTAAGAAGAATGAGAATTCCAGAACAATTCTTTATGCTAACGTGAGATTTGTACATGGATCAAGAGGGAGGTATGCAAACAGAACGACGGAATGCTGCCTGGTTTAAGATCAGGAAAGGTGTGCATCAGGGCTGTACCCTTTTACCCCACTCATTCACTCTGTATACTGAGCAAATCGGAGAAGGTGGATGGATTCTATAAAGAAGAATGTGGCATCTTGTGGGAGTCTGCACGTCCCTCAGCCCATGACCTGTGCTGTCTGCTGTCTTTAAACTTCCGGTTCCTGGATGTTCCCTGGCCTATTGTCCTGCCTGAGTTTGGCCTTTGTGATGATTGGCGCTCAGTGGCAGGCAGCCGCCATGCTCATTGGACACCTCCGCCAGGCATCCAAGTGCACTTCATTTGCATGTGGACCGTTCAAGTGCACCTCATTTGCATGTGGACCTGTTTGAGGACTGATGCCTGCCATTTCTTCCATATTTGGTAGCTGCGTGATTATTGGATACTACCCGTTACACTTTATTAGCATATGATGTAATCTTACCCGCCCACCATTGGGTATTTAAGCCCCTGCCTTCTGCTCAATAAATGAGGCTTGATCAGACTCCTGTCTTGCCTCCATTTCTCGCGTCTCTTGCCCCTCTTCATTCCCAGTCCCTCTTTCAGGTATCCACGCTGTTTGATGGCCCGCGGGACGGGTCAAAGAATGTAGCATCAGGATTGGACGAAGGCTTATTAACCAGCTGTGATACACACAGGACACAACCTCGCTTGTTGAAAATGAGAACTTGAAGCTCTTGCTACGAAGATGGAGGATTTCAACGGCCAGCATCGACTAGAACGCATTGAAAAGAAAACCCCAAGGGCAATGAATGTACAAATGCGCTTTACACAATTGATGTGTGTATGGATCATGATAAGAGTTGTATGAGCCCCTAATAAAATGATTTTAAAAAATAAGAAAAGAAAAGCCGAAACCTCACACCTGGACTAGTAGGTAACATCGTGATAAATGGAGAAAGGAACAGAGTTGGCAAGCGCTTTGTCTTGCTTGGCTCCACAATGGGTGTAGGAGTAGCAGTCAAGAGATCACGTGACGAATTGCGTCCGCTCAGTCTGCTGAACAGAACCGTGTCAGAGTGGTGGAAAGCAGGGAGGGGACTTTGAGAGCCTGACCCAAGGCATGGTATTTTCTCTGTCCTCATAAGCACATGAAAGGTAGCCATTGAAGAAGGAAGACCAAAGAGGAACCGAGGCACTTGAATCGTGGTGCTGGCACAGAAGTGTGAAAGCACCGTGGACGCAAGAAGAACAAAAACATCTGTCTGGAAGCAGCATGGCCAGAGAGCTCGTTGGAGGCAAGGATGGCAAACCTGCGTCTTGCATGCTATGGACATGTTGTCGGGAAAGGCCAGGTCCCGGAGAAAGACATCGGAGTTGGTAAACAGAGCGAAGGGGCAGCACAAAAGACAGTGGCCTTCAACCAGATGGAGTGGCACGGCGGCTGCACCGACAGGCTGAAGCCTAGGAACTATTGTGAGGCCGGTGCCGGACGGCCAGTGTCTTCTTCTGCTGTGGGTTGGAATGGTCTCAACAGCACCCAACAACGACCAACAAAGAACAACACGAGTCAGCAAGTCACATGACAGGATGCCTGTCACATCCAAACCCTCGCCGCCGGCGACATCCTGGATTGGCTACTCACTCTTTCCAGACACAGGACACCTTCATCAAAGCAAGGCCACACCCACCAACCTCTTAAAGAGCCCACTCACGTGTCCGCCTGTCTTCCATCCTCTTGCAAAGATCCTGACGACTGATCTTCTGAAACATGGAGAACATGATCTTCCAGGTGACCTGTGGGTCGTAGTTGGTTGTCAATATCGCATCCAGATCTTCTGGGCTGGCTTTGTTTAGCTGAAACCATGGGATCTCCGGCAGTCCAGCGTCCAAAAGTTCTTTGTTAAGATCATCCTTAACAGTCTGAAATTCGTTATCTCTGAGCTTCTCCAGCTGCCACAGCAGGTTGGAGCTGGCCTTGGAACTCAGGGCTGCCATCTTGCTTCTGACTTCCAGAGGGAAAAGGTTTCGGGAACAGGAAATGAAGGATCTGGAAAATAGATGGTAGAAGTCTCACCCAGGACTTCGCGCAACATTTCTACCGAAAGCCATGAAAGCAGGTACAAGAGTAATCGCGTGTCCCTGGTTAAGAAAGACTATTGACTCAATCTAACAAGCTGGAAGCAGGGACTTCAACTAGGCGGTGCTGTTCACTCATTCATAATTAGCAGAATATGAAACACACCGAAGTTTACTTGCGTCCAGGTCACCTGTGGGTTTATGTTTGCTGGCCTGGAGAGATGTGTCTGAGCCACTGTCATGAAAGGAAGGAAACCGACGAATGGGAATAACACCTCCACTTCTGGGAGCTGTTGTCTCAGTGGGTCACTGTTTCAGGACATGTGTCATGGAATTAACACAGCAGGCCCGACTTCTCTCCTTTTAAAGGCCTGCTTGAGAGGCTGGCCCTGGTCTAGTATTGGGGGACCCAAAGTAGGTAGGGGTGTGAGGAACCATGTAATATGTCTGAATGTCTGAATGTATTATTGTATTATCTCTCATGCTCTCGATGACTTTAATATAATACTTAGATATCTCAACCGTACAATTGTACTTACTGAACACGTAGAGAGTATTAGCGGTGGGGGCTGGTCCCCCATCTCCCCCGCGCCACTTTTAATTTAATACTACAGTGGGGGGGGTTTTCCACCATCCCTTAAGAGGCTAACGGAGGCTAAGTTGCTTGTGCAAACAAAGTGGTTTGCGCCGAACACTTCACTTTCCTTATGGGAATAAGTTTGGTTTGTGTTAGGCAAGGTGACCCTTGCCCACCCCAGAAAGGACCCCCAGAACCCGCCGCAAGTTTCTACCAGCTTCCTCGGTAGGCACCATTTCATATCCATTGCCAGAATTTGGTGCTAAAGGAATGAAGCGTGTCCCGGGAGAGGGCTTTTGCATCTAGTTTTCTCTGGACTTAAGTGACTTTTCCCTTTCCCAATTGCAACTTGCATCCCTCTAGGGCAGTGGTGCTCCACCTTCCTCATGCCACGACCCTTTCATACAGTTCCTTGTGTGGTGGTGACCCCCCAACCATCACATTATTTTCGTTGCTACGTCATCACTGTCATTTTGCTACTGGGATGAGTCGGGCGAGCCCTGTGAAAGGGTCCTTCAACCCCCAAAGGGGTCACGACCCACAGGTTGAGAACCACCGCTCTAGGGTAAGAAATCACGCTGTGAGTCTCCCCTGAAAATTGTCACAGGTAAATGCTGGTGCTCTTGGAGACCCGACACACAAACCAGTCCCCAACAAGTTGGCTCCAGCTCACGGTGACCCCGTGTGCTCCGCGGGGTGTTGAATAGGTTTTCGATGGATTTTCAGGGCCAGATCACCGATCTCTTTTCCAAGGTGACTTGGGGGCGGGGGGGAGAGCAGGTTGGGTCAAACCCCCAAACTTTCACATAAACCCTTCACATCATCCAGAGACTCCCCCTGGCATAGAGGGAAACAAGAAATGACTCCATGGCCCGGCTCATAATGCACCTGGGCATTCAAGTTACCTTCTTGTTCTTTACAGCAGGTGGCATCATTGTGAAAACTCCCCAACCAGCCACGACCGATAAGGAGGGTGATGCTGTTTGCACAGGTCAAAGACCGACCGCCACTGGTGCCACGGAGTGGGACGTGGACACGTGGATTGGTATTCTGTTCAGCTGTGTATGTTCTCAGCAATGCGCAGAACAAAGGAATTGTTTCACCAAAGAAGAAATGCAGGACGGTGTGACCAAGGAGCCAAAGACATTTTAAAAGCAGGAGTTAAGAGTGTGACCAGAATCCAAAAGTCGTTATTGCCTTAATTAAAAGTCACCCGCTTCTCTTAATGAAGAACATTTGTTGCCAACAAATAGCTCCCCCCCCACTCGCCCCCAAAAGGTGGCAACTAATGGTTGCGCATGTGCAACCTGATAGACGTGATACAAATAGCCTCACAAGTCCCGATTGAACACAAAGTGATTGATTGACTAGAAAGTTCTCTAAAATTGACACGTGTTTTCCAAATCCACTAAAACGCTTAATAAATTTTTAAAATAGGATGGAACATTACAGCAACAGAGTAGGCCCAGTTGTGGATTTAGGGCATCGATAGTCACGTTTTAGAAATGGTACTGTCAGATAGGAACTGAAAATCCAGGGAATCCAGGGCGGATGAGCCCTACAGGACCAGTGATGTGAGTGGCAAAACAGGGAGGGTAAAGGGAGAGTGAGTAGGAAAGAGGGAACCGATGACAAGGAACTATATGTGTCCCCCTCCCTGGGGGACAGACAACCGAAAAGTGGATGAAGGGAGACGTCGGACAGGGCAAGATATGACAAATACCAATTTATGAACTATCAAGGGCTCATGAGGGAGGGGGGAGCGGGGAGGGAGGGGAAAAATGAGGACCTAATGTCGGGGGTTTAAATGGAGAGAAAATGTTTTGAGAATGATGTACAAGTGCGCTTTACACAATTGATGTGTGTATGGATTGCGATAACAGTTGTACGAGCCCCTAATAAAATGTTTAAAAAAAAAAAAAAGAAGAGTATCAACCCACTTTGCTGACATACAGTAGACTGTATGTCAAATAGAACGATGGTTGCTTAAAAAAAAAAATGGTACTGAGCTGTTTGCAACAGCAAGAAGACACAAACAGCCTACATGCCCATCAGCAGGAGATGGGGAAAGCCACTCTGGTGCCTACACACAACAGAATCGTTAGGACTGGTCTGAAAAGCAGAACAAAGAAAGAACGGCAGGCCAGGAAGCCCTCATGACATCGATGGCTCGGAGTCCACGACGCTGAGGGGAAATGAGTCCATCACAAAAGGATCAATACTTTGTGAGACCACTGAGAAAAGGGCGGGAGGGCAAGATAAACGCTATCATGCCAAAGGGCACAGAGGGGGGAAAGAAAGCAGTGGGCTAGTGTGGACGGCATCCACTTGGGTGAAACGGGGGACAGTAGTCCACAGCAAAGGTCCCTCTAGGAGAGTAACCAAGCACTGGGGGAAGGGAAGCTTTGGGGATTTGATGAATACTTTAAACTGTTGAATACAAATGTCAGGGTCTGAAATGTCAAGCCCCCCCACCTGAAGCACACGCGCTCTTGTTGTCAATGACACTGAGAAAAATGGACTAACAGCCGAGCTGTAAGGAAAGCATTCCACATACACACAAACGCCAGAGAAGGTGACAGTTGTATTTTGAAGGGAAGTATGATTGGGACTTAGTAAAGACATAACATCATCTATATATGATGTTTACATACATATGTAAAAGACATAACATGTGTTATATCTATATATCAGCAGTTCTCAACCTGTGGGTCGCGACCCCTTTGGGTCGCCTAAGACCACCGGAAAACACATATTTCAGATGGTCTTAGGAACCGAGACACCACTCCTCTACCCGCGTCCAGGCGGGTCCGCCCGCACGCAGATACGCTGACCTGGCAAGAAAGAAGCTATCTCAACCTTCACACTGACTTTGGCTTTTTTACACAGACGCGCAAAATGTAGCAACGTAGTTGACTGTTGTTATATTAAGACTGTGACCCATGCTACACCATGCTTCAAGACACAATGTCACTGCTTTGTCATCAGAATGAAATATTTCACCATCTATAATGACATATTGTTCTTGTGATTCATCACTATGTTTTCATGATGTTCAATTTGTA